GTTCTATCCCACCATGACCGAGTTCATGCCACCACTTCTCCTCTGAGCATAATAGCATCCTCGACGTTGCATTTCGTCTGCCTACGTGCGGACTCCTCAGGAGGTGGAATCCAGTCGGATTCCCTAGCTCAGGGCAGCTTCGGCCGTGCTGCCCGTACAAATACTGTGGCCCTTCCCCCTCTGTCCCTTCCCCCGGACCCGACGCAGCTGCTAACTTCAAGAAAATTAAAAAAACTAAAATTATTCGTTTCAAGAAGTCCTTGGGCTTACCGCCAGGACTCCGCCGTCAGTCCCTGTCCAGCCCATCCCCCTGCATCCTTCGATTTCGGCCTATCACCTCGTTTTTCCCGAATCTGGCCCATATTCGTTTTTGCAGGGCCTCCCTCGGGCCTTTTCCTACCTCTACTCTGCTCTGTGTCCCCTTCCTTACCCCGTTTTCCCAGTACCCTGTTTTCTCAGTACTCAAACCCCTGTTTTCCCCTTCCCCTCCTCCCTCCTCCATCGTTTTTCCCCGAATGTCAAGCTCAACACCTGCCAAAGTCTACGCAGGTTCTGATCGTCCGCAACCTTGACCAACTTGGCCAAGGCACCAAGAGAGACCGCCGAGGTATAGGCCCAAAGGTTTGGTTCCCATAATGCGTATGCTATAGAACTCACTACCAGGACCTGGCATGATGTGGACGACCACAACCTTTTCAAAGTGGCGGCCAAAGTTGACTTCTTTGATCTCTTCTCAGAATACGATGCGAAATCTTGCATCGTCTGGAATCTCAGTCTCCCCTCCTCTCGTAGTGACGCTTGATTTTTCGTGTCAGGTACTTACAGCAGCCTGAGGAGCTGCTGTGTCGGATACATAGTCCCCCCGAGGAAATGCCACCAGTCTCTGTCATCATTCTTCCTGATGAGACTCAGATTCTTGTCGTAGCAGTTGTCCAGATTACGGAATAAGCTACCGGTATCTTCTCGCCCACGCTCTTCCCCTCCTTACCTGTTCCCCACGATGACTGTGATGTCATCGACTATCCTCCATCCTGCGACTAGCTTTCGATCAGAGCCTAGCCCCCATTAAACAGTTGAATTCCCCCATGGCACATGTGATCGTGGCCAGCGTCGGCTGCTGGATTTCCCCATCGGGATTCCCGACACTTGCCTCGTCACGATCTCCCCACACTTAATATATGCATGGTCCAAATCATAGTTGACCATGCTGAACAGCTGTTCAAACTGTAGCCCGACACAACCGTCCGCCATTTTTCGTATCTTGTTGATCGTACACAGCTTCCCTCTCCTTGATACTTTCACCTGTTTCCATCCTCTGTTCACATACCACAGTAGCATCTGCCAGACTGCTTTCCGTACTGCCTCATGCGGTATCTTAGTGAACATATCCTTGATATCATAGCATCGTCCTTCTACTCCCGTGCATCCCATTTCAGTGAGCCTTCTCTGTGTTGCTTCTAGTCTTCCTGGTAGCTCCTGAATCGCATTCAGATAGAAAGACTGCTTTGTCGGGAACATCTTGATCAGATAGTGCAACGCCTTTGCGACTCTCTTCTGTGCCAAACTGTCCGGGTCGTTATTCGCTGGAGCGATCGGTCTCCACCTTGAGAGATCCTTGTCTTTTGGTATCACGTACACTTGTCCAATCCTGTCGTCGGTCTTCCATCTTGCAATCTTCTGCAGGTCCGCTTGTTCGAACTCCTGGCATGCTGTCTGCAGAATCCTCTGCTCCTCTTCTCTTACCACCGTATAATCAGAGTTCCATACAAAAGTCTTCCCGAATGCATGTCGGTATATCACCGGGCATATTACGGCCGTGTCGCCCTGATTCCGATTGATCGGAGCCAACACCATGCCTCTAAATCTTCTCGCCCAGGTTGCCACTTCCCCCTCCTCCCACGTCTTCTGCTTTGCCTTCACCTCGGTCTCCTTCACGAACCCGCCTGCTGGTACGTTCACATCTTCCGCTTTTCCGCCCACGTAGTCGGTCCCCTGTACTATGGCTTGTACGTAATGCTCTGCAATCCTTACTTGTGACTGACACGTCACGTTCTTGGCGTTCTTCATGAACGCCAGGATCCCGTCCAGATCTGAAAAGCGCGTCAGCACGTGTCCCTCCTTTGTCGGAAGTCCCATTCCCTTACATGCACATCGTTGCTCCCCGACCTTCGCTTGCTTCCGGTGATTGTGGATGATCTCCCCGACCATCCGATTTCTGCGCCACATAATCCGTATCTTGCTCTTGATTTGATTAGCGATAGCTATGTCTTGCACTCGTCTCTCCACCACTCCCTCTGTTGCTGCTCTGATCTTGTTCTTCACGATCCTTCTGTCGTACTTCACCTTCACCACCACCCTCTTCCGCACTCCCGCCCCATTCTTTCTCCTTATTGCCCTGTCTATCTTCAGTCTCACATCGTTTTTTGTCTTCGTCTCCAAAGAGACCTGGTGCTCGATACATCCCGACTAGTTGGTTCGTACTCCATGTTGTCTGCCTTGAATTCGAATGGTCTCTTCAACATCCCACGTAGCTCCTGTAGGTATCTCGTTGTAGTGGTCTTCGTCTTCACGATCTCGATGATAGTCGCCGTTGCTCCTTGTTGTAGCTCCCCCTTAGCTTTCGCCATAGTCTTCACTTGTCCGTTTATTCTTACCTTTATCATCCCAAAGAGCCTCTTCACCTTCTTCCACCCGTCACTCCATACCTCTCCTCCGTGGAATACCACTCTTCTTTCCCCCTTCGCCTCCTTCCTCCACTCCTCCTCCATCCATTTCATCACAGATACCCGTTTCTCATTCGTACCCGACCTGCTGAAACTGACCAGGTTCTTCACCTTCTGTGCTGTACGGTTCAACTTCCGTCTTTCTCTTCTCCCCTTCCGTTTGCATCTCTTCGCTTCGTTGTTCATTGTCTTGTTGTTGCACGTGTTCAGGATCGGAGAGAAATCTCGAATCAATTGTCTTTCCATGGCCCGATCGTCCACTTCATCAGCATGTCTCAGTGGTACGATAAAAAACTTCTCCTTTCCGAAGTGCCGCATCCACCTATACAATTTCGGCGAGCTCCTGATCATATCCGTATCTGCATTGCTCAGGTGCTCTCGCCACCTTTGCATTATGCTTCGAATTGTACTACCGACGTACATTTTCTTCGACCATGGTGACATGACTACATACACGCCCCCTTCCTTCAAGTCCAGCATCTGCGGATTAATTTTCGCTCTCGCTACGTACTTCGCGACCCACGGTATTTGCCCCCTCATAGCGAGCAATACCGTCGTTGTCGTGATGACCCGTTCCACCGTGGTTAGTTGCTCGTTGCTCCTGCCGTGCCCCCAGAGGGCTGATCGCGTCTCCATGTGGGAGGTCAGGGTCTCCCATAGGGTCGCGCTTGTAGGGGGCGCAGGTAGTCAGCCCGACTCCTGCTGTTTCTGTTTCGCTGTTGATCTCAAAATCACTCTCGCGGGGCCTGACTTACTTACGATCTCGTTTGTCTCTTTTCTTGTTCGTATAGATCCTCCCCCAGCTTCGCCTCCACCATCTCACTCGTCTCCCTCTGTTCGTCGTTATCTTTGAATCCCTCATATGCTAACTTGACTTGCTCCCTGGCGAGGGCATCAACCATCTCAGGTTTCTTCGTGTATTTTATGCCTTTCTTCTGGCATAGCTTACGTAGCATCAGCGCTTTCTTCGATGACAAAATCTTCTGCGTGGAGAGGCAGTAATCGATAATGCCCTCCCGCGAGCACTTAGCGGCCAAGCCCTTATAGCCCTTCTCCATCGGGGTTCTTGGCTCGTTCCCCTGCTCATCTTCGACCTCGCTCGGCATCCCAAACCTCAAACCCCCTACCCGTGATGATCCCTGGCAATCATTGAACTTGACTCCTGTCTCCTCATAATCCCCGCCCATATCGTTCACATTTCTCATGACATCGTCCTCGTCATCACGATTGCACCTCTTCTTCTTCCTTGCCCGTGAGCACTCACCGCATTCCGTAGTCGGTATGTTCTTCTCCGGTGTGTTCGTTTTCGTTTTCGCTTGTTTTCCCTTTCCTGTCTTCTTTATTCTCCCTGTCCTCTTCTCTTGCCTCTTTTCCCTCAGGCGTTTAATCGTACGTCTCAGCTCTTCTTCCGAGTCTGTGGTGTCGGTTTCATCCCCGATGTCGGAGGTTTCCTCACTCTCCGACTCGGTCGATGACACCTGGCGTCTTCGTTTCTTAGGCCCGTTCGCGGATGCTTTAGCCTTGAGTGCTTTCATCCTCGTTTGCTCGATCTTCGCCCGTGCTTCCTCTGCCTTCACTTATGCCTCCTCTGCCTTCACCTTTGCCTCCTCCACTTTCGATTTTGCCGCTGCTGCAGCTTCCTCCGCTTGCTTCGTTTGCTTGCACCATTTCTCCTTTAGTCCTCCTTCTAACTGCAATCACATTTCCTCCGTCCGCCGGATTATGTCATGTTCTCGTCTTCTCTCGTTCTCTTCTTGTATTCTTCTATGCTCCTCCTCCCTCCTCTTCTCTTCGGCTTCTCGTTTCTCCTTAATCACCATCCTGTAATGTTGTCTTATCTCCTCAAGCTCGTTGTTTTCATTTCTCCCTTTCTTCATCCAGCAATCCCGCGAGTCATGCCCGACTTTTCCACACGTGTAGCATACCTGCTGCCTTCCTCCGTAACCACTCCCTTCGTTCTTTCCCCCATAATATCCGTTTCCTCCGTTATTCCCTCCTCCATATCCGTTGTTATTGCCCCCCACGTATCCACCTTGATTGCTCCCATATCCCCCATCGTATCCCCCCGCGCTCCCATTCCCCCCCCCTTGCTGGTTCTGACCTCCACTGTACATTTTTTCATTCCCTTCCTTTTCTGTCCTCGCTCTACCGAACTCGCTCTCGCTGTTACCGAGCTATCTATCCCGCTACTTGTCCTATCTTCTATAGCACTTACCGTACGTAGACTGTCCGTAGTGTTGTCGCGTCGACATAGCCACCGTGAAGTTTTCACATCTCCCGGTTACCATGCGCCTCCGAGTGAAGGAAGCAAGACTGCGGCCCCACAGTCATTGCAGCATGCCGTCACGCAGCAGTATCAGAACGAATTCCCTTTGTTTTCCAAAAAGCATGCATAACTCTCCCTTTCCTATATCCACCTGGCTTCCCTCCCCTCCGTTCTATCCCACCATGACCGAGTTCATGCCACCACTTCTCCTCTGAGCATAATAGCATCCTCGACGTTGCATTTCGTCTGCCTACGTGCGGACTCCTCAGGAGGTGGAATCCAGTCGGATTCCCTAGCTCAGGGCAGCTTCGGCCGTGCTGCCCGTACAAATACTGTGGCCCTTCCCCCTCTGTCCCTTCCCCCGGACCCAATGCAGTTGCTAACTTCAAGAAAATTTACAAAACTAAAATTATTCGTTTCAAGAAGTCCCTGGGCTTACCGCCAGGACTCCGCCGTCAGTCCCTGTCCAGCCCATCCCCCTGCATCCTTCGATTTCGGCCTATCACCTCGTTTTTCCAGAATCTGGCCCATATTCGTTTCTGTAGGGCCTCCCTCGGGCCTTTTCCTACCTCTACTCTGCTTTGTGTCCCCTTCCTTACCCCGTTTTCCCAGTACCCTGTTTTCTCAGTACTCAAACCCCTGTTTTCCCCTTCCCCTCCTCCCTCCTCCGTCGTTTCTCCCCGAATGTCAAGCTCAGCACCTGCCAGAGCCTGCGCAGGTTCTGATCGTCCGCAACCTTGACCAACTTGGCCAAGGCACCAAGAGATAGATAGATAGATAGATAGATAGATAGATAGATAGATAGATAGATAGATAGATAAATAGATAGATAAATAGATAGATAGATAGATAGATAGAGATAGAGAGAGAGAGAGAGAGAGACCCTTCACATTATCCTCGCATCCTTCAGAAGACGCGCCATTATCCCCACTTCGCCACGATTTTGCACCTCGCATCCCGTATTTTTTTCCCTCCAGTTGTTCACATCTCTCTCTCTCTCTCTTTCTCTCTCTCTCTCTCTCTCTCTCTTTCTCTCTCGCTGTCTTTCATTCTATCTGTTTCTGCCATAACACATGATACTAATTGAAAAAAACATTGCCTGACAGAGTTGCCCGACCTTGCATTCTCTCTCTCTCTCTCTCTCTCTCTCTCTCTCTCTCTCTCTCTCTCTCTCTCTCTCGTTGCCTGTCATTCTATCTGTTTCTGCCATAACACATGATACTAATGGAAAAAACCATTGCCTGACAGAGTTGCCCGACCTTGCATTTGTGAGATCTTTCAATATTTGTCTTTCTGTCGTTCAATTTCGCAGATATCAAGAAAGTAGACAAACCCGGTGACACCCGGTAGTGCATATGCGGGCAGAATGACTGCGAACCCGTGCGATGTGGTCAGAGCTCAGGATAGAGCAAGAGCCATGATGGATGAGTGTTGGGTGGATATTGTTCAGAGGCAACAGGAACACATAGATAAACTGACGGCCGAACTGCGTGAGCAGAAAATGTTGGGTAGACAGATGATAGCGTTGACGGACCGTTATGATAACGAGGTATCGGTGTTGAAGGCAAATTGGGAACACGACATGTGCAGCGTGTTGTGGTTGTTTGACGGTTTGGATCGATATCACAAAGAGAGAAATAGTATGAGGCAGAGGGTTGAAGAGTTAGAAGCGATCTTGAAACACGCAGAACTTGCATTCCCGCCTGTTGATATTCGCATAAATAGACAGAGACGTCTGCCCCGAGAAATCCACCGACATGTCCCTCATTAGTGGGATGTGAAATGTTGTCCGGCAGGAGAAAAATGTGTGTTGAGGCAAGGGTGGACGTGTTACGATAGCCAGGAAGACAGGTGCGGTGAGGAGTCTTCTTCGTCAAGCACACACGTTGACCTTCTGTCTTTCTCAGAGGACTGTATCAAACATTGTGTAGAAACTATCAACTACTACGCTTGTCTGAAATATCGGGGCGACATGGACCTTGAATGGTAGAGCGATTTGACTCCGCCCAATGTATGGGCTCTGCTGAACAGTTGCACAAATGTCATGGACAGTCTCAAGCACACACGTGCGTCGTTGTTGTATGGACACCGAGTGTGTTTGGATGGGGAGGGGTGTACGAAAGAAAACAAGAACACCGACAGAGAGATGTGATTTGTGAAGGAAGACGACATGGGGGACCGCGCAATCACCGACGATAGTGCATGAGCGCAATGCGTTCCAAATCATATGGTCTTGTCGTGCCACGATTTGCAATGTTTTAAAAGTCACAAAATACGGCACAATTTTCCATGTGTGCTCGCCAGCAGCGTGCCTGTCCCGGAAGGCGTAGGGTCCCCTAGCGTCTGTAGTCCGATGACGACTGATAAATTTCGGTATTTTGTAGAAATGGCAAACAAGCGACAAATGGGAAGGCTTGCAACGGATTGTATATGCCACCTCGTGTCAATTATGATGGAGGTCATGTCGCATATTGTCAGCAACGCAGATGTGAGGTGTGCGAGCAACGATTGCGGGCAATGCAGAAATGCGTTTCGAGTCAACGACTGTTTGCGAACTTTGATCAAGAGCTGCGAGATTGTAGCAGCGGGTCTTCTGAAGGACGGGAGAGAAACGTGAAGTCCACCTCTCTCTCTCTCTCTCTGTCTCTCTCTCTCTCTCTCTCTCTCTCTCTCTCTCTCACACACACACACACACACACACACACACACACACACACAC